TACCTATGGGGTTTTTATGGGGTCTCCCTATGGGGTTTTTATGGGGTTTTTATGGGGTTCCCTATGGGGTTTATAACGGGGCTCCCTTTGGGGTCTCTATGGGGTTTTTTTATGGGGTCTCCCTATGGGGTCTCCCTATGGGGTCCCAATGGGGTTTTTTTATGGGGTCTTCCTATGGGGACCCTATGGGGTCTCTATGGGGTCCCTGTGGGGTCTCTCTATGGGGTTTCCCTATGGGGTCTCCCTATGGGGTTTTTATGGGGTTTTTTGTGGGGTCTTTCTATGGGGTTTTTATGGAGTCTCTATGGGGTTTTTTATGGGGTCTCCCTATGGGGTTTTTATGGGGTCTCTATGGGGTCTCTATGGGGTCCCCATGGGGTTTTTCTGGGGTCTCTATGGGGTTTATAACGGGGCTCCCTGTGGGGTCTCTATGGGGTCCTTATGGGCTCCTTATGGGGTCTCTATGGGGTCCCTATGGGGTTTTTATGGGGTCTCCCTATGGGGTTTTTATGGGTTTTTTTGTGGGGTGTTTCTATGGGGTTTTTATGGGGTCCCTATGGGATTTTTATGGGGTCTCTCTATGGGGTTTTTATGGGGTTTTTTGTGGGGTGTTTCTATGGGGTTTTTATGGGGTCTCTATGGGGTTTTTTATGGGGTCTCCCTATGGGGTTTTTTATGGGGTCCCCCATTATTTCTCACCATCTCTGCCCCACAGCGCCGCCCCCGCCAAGGAAAATCCCTTTTTGTGCTTCGCCTCCTCCGCCTTCCGCCCCCCCGGCAGCTGCGGGGGCAATTAACCCTTCCTTAATTAACCGCTAATTAATGAACCGCCAATTAATGAACCGCCAACGAATCCCTCCTTCGGCGCTCGTTAATTCACCCATCCTCAAAAAGTTCATTAACATCCCAAAAGGGGGTGGGGGGTCCCACAAACCTCCCCCCCCCCCCTTTCTGCCGAATTAACGTGAAATTAAGAACCGTTCTAATGAGGAAATAACGATTAATTGGTGATGAATCGTTAATTAGGCCTTAAATTAATTATCAACAGCAGCCGTCCAGCAAACAGGGAGGTTTATTCTTCACCCAGAATCAGCGAGTTGGGTTTGTTTGATGCAGGAACTCATTAATAAACCACCCATTAATTGCTAATTAATCACTAATTACGCCCTTAGATAATTAGTAAGAGCGGAGGGCAGCGCTTTTCCCTAATAGATGGGTTCTTTCCTCTTGAAAACCATTGAGTTGGGTAATTAAATGTAGGAAACAGCGCAGCGAGTCGTTAATGAACCGCTAACGAACCGCTTAATGAGCGCTAATTAACCGTTAATTACACCGCTCGTTAATTAGGAACAACGGGGCGCCCCGCTGTACCCCAAAGGAGGGGTTCAGGAAGGCTGAATGGGGTCATTTGGTACAGGAAACACCACGGCTCGTTAACGAAGTGATTATTAATCCCTAATTAATCATTAATGACGCAATTAGTTAATTAGGAAGAGCGGGAGGGGGCGCTACGGACTCATTAAGGGGCTCAATTTTCCCCCCGAAAAGAGCTAATTGGGGTTACTAAGCGTGTGTATGGGGGGGGGGTATAGATCACTAATGAAGCTGTTATTAATCACTAATTAACCACTAATTACACCGCTAATTAATTAGTAAAAGCACGGGGGCACCCCTACACCCCCCAAAAGGGGTTCATTTTCCACCCCCCCCCCAATAAACAAATGGGGGTTATTTCACGGGACTGCGGCTGACTAATTAAGTAATTCACTAATTAACGAGCTAACGAGGGCGGTGCTTAATTACCTTCTTCCGGAAGAAGTGGCCTTTGGGTTTCTTGGCGTCTCCACTGCCCCCCTTGGGCTTCACCCCCTGCAGCCTCAGGTAGGAGCAAACGGCCGCCACCGCCGCCGCGCTGCGGGGGGTAATTAGCAATTAACGCTAATTAGCGCGGCCTCATCGGCGGGGGGGAAGGATGGGGGGAGGGGAGGTGCGAAGTGCCGTAAGGGAGGGGTGGCGTAAAGGGGGGTGGCGTAAGTGAGGGAAGTGTCGTAAATGAGGGTGGCGTAAGTGAGGGGTG